GATTTAGGGTGTCCTGGGGGCTCCTGGGTGGCTCAGTCAGTTAAATGTCTGCCTTTGGCTCAGGTCACGATCCCAGGGTCCTGAGATTGAGCCCCACGTCAGGCTCCCCTGCTCAGTGGGGAGTCTGCTTCTTCCTCTCCCTCTCCCTCCGTGTGTTCTCTCTCAAAAAAATAAATAAATCTTTTAAAAAAAGAGATTTAGGGAGTCTGGCTGTGTTGGGGAGATATTGAGGACACGACTGGAAAAAATGGAGACTCAAGTCCCAGAGAAGAGAGAAGGGCATTTACCCAAGCAGGGGACACCAGCCTCTTCCCCATGCCCGCAGTTGTGGGTGAACCAGCCGGCATGGAGCACTGCCCCAGATAGGCCTCAGTCCCCGAACACTGCACATCGTCCAGAAGGATGGGGCCTGAGCCCTGGCCGTAGCGGGCCTCTCCCGGGGCGGAGACGGCTGTCCTGCAGCCCAGCTGCCGACACACCACCTATGTTTCCTTCTCGTCCCAAAAGTCGTCACACACTGTGTACCACCCGCCTTCAAAGTACACTTCGACACGGCCCGAACACCTGCCAGAACCTTCCACGAGCTGCACAGCGAGCCAGCCTTTGAGAGAAAGGCAGTCCCCCACCCCCAAATGTTGGTGGAGTCACCACGTTCCTCACCGGCCTCATCATCGTGACAGTAAGCACTATTCATGAAGTGCCGCCTGCATTCCAGGCACTGGCTTAACTCCTTTACAACGACATCTTTTTAAGGCTCACAACTACCTTGTAGGGTATTATTGTCCCCACCTTACCAGGGAGGAAACCGGGTACAGCTTCCTGGGGGTCCCACCAGTGAGGGGCAGAAGGGGAACCCTAGCTCATTCCGACTGCTCCCAGGGGTCCTCTGCACATCTCCGTAGGGCTCACCTGTTTGGGGGGGGGGTGTCATCCACGGGAGGGGAGTTTACATTGGCTGTGTAGCAGGATATCTGGCTTTGCTTTGCTCTTTTCTTTTTTTTTTTTTTTTAAAGATTTTATTTATTTATTTGAGACAGAGAGAGAGAGCACAAGCAAGGGGGAGGGACAGAGGGAGAGGGAGAAGCAGGCTCCCCGCTGAGCAGGGGAGCTTGACGTGTGGCTCGATCCCAGGACCCTGAGATCATGACCTGAGCTGAAGGCAAAGGCTTAACCAACTGAGCACCCAGGCGCCCCCTGAAGTCAGATTCTTATAATAATTTGCTAACTAGACTCTTCTTAGCCCCTGTCCTCCCCTCAAGATCCCGTGCCCAAGGACCTGCTGCCTAAGAGACTGGCAGAGTCCTCCTCCCAACTTCCTACGCTGCCTGGAGTGCCCAGATGAGACAAAGATGACATCTGCCTAATGCTGTCTGTCCTGAGGACTCACAGGAAGCTCACAAAGTGTGTTCCAGGGGTTCAGGAAGTCAGAGGGGCTGGGGCTGCCTTTCCCTGCAAGCCAGAGAGAGGTCTTGGGAATGACGATTTAATGGACTGGAATTCTTCTCGACCCATTTAACCAGCTCTCAGGACAGAGTCGCCTGCAGTGGGAAAGGTCCCAGCAAGGCAGGGTCTGGTCCCCACCATCACCAAGAGAGGGGAGTCTGCTGCTTTGTGACAGAAGCTGGTATGTGGAATAGTCTGGAAGTCAATCCCAGGGGACAGGGACATTGTGTTCACTGCTGGATCTCCAAGCTTTCTGCAAAAATATTTTCTGAATGAATGAGTGCTTGGCTCTTGGCTAGCTGATAATGGCTTAGATCCTGCTTCCTGGCATGTCAGATTTGGGAGGAATGATCAGGGGAATGGAGGAGCCGTGTCCTCCCACTCTGCATATCCGGCAGCCGAGGAACAAGGAGGGGGCTGCCTCTGGCTCCTGACTTCCGAACTTGCCCCATCATCCAGAGATGGGTTCTTAGAGACATGGCTACTTGGTCTCTAAGAGACAGATGTCCTCAAAAGGCAGAAACATCAGGCACAGCCTCATTGGTTATGAAATGGCACGTGAAGGATCAGAATTAACAGGTGTCTCCCCAAATAGCAGGAAGGGGGGGAAAGAAAGCCATTGTTTTGGTTGCTAATATTATTAGTATTATTATTCCCATTGTGTTAAAGGGGAAATAATGTGCAAAAAGCCACACTAAGAGGAAGGGCAGGCATTGGGGGGACCACGAACATTAAGGATGCCAGAAGCACCTGCCGTCACTCAGGGCCCTCCACTCAGAGCTCGAATGCTCTGCTGTTGCTGTCTCGAAATTCTTAAATAATTTCTGAAAAAGGAGACCCACATTTTCATTTTGCACTGGGACCCGCAGTGATGCAGCCCATCGTGTGACTGGACTAAGCCTTTTTGCTTCAAACCTAGATTTCTTTGCAATATGCTGACCTTTGGCTTCTCAAATAGACACAAAACGTTTGGGGTTAGATTTAGGGTGTCCTGGGGACGATGACAATGGTGATGATGGTGATGGTGACAATGATGTCGATGGGGAGAATGATAATGATGATGAAAATGATGGTAATCCTGCTCCTAAAAGATAGGGGCTCCTGGGTGGCTCAGTCGTTAAGTGTCTGCCTTTGGCTCAGGTCATGATCCCAGGGTCCTGGGGTCAAGCCCGGCATCGGGCTCCCTGCTCAGCAGGGAGTCTGCTTCTCCCTCTCCCACTCCCCCTGCTTGTGTTCCCTCTCTCACTGGCTGTCTCTCTCTCTGTCAAAAAAATAAATAAAACCTTTTTTTTTAATAAATAAAATCTTAAAAAAAAAAAGAAAATGAAAAGATAGGTTATAGACTAAGAGAAAATATTTGCCGAACACATATCTGAAAAAATACTTGCATCTAGTATTTTAAAATACATAATATTTGATATATAAAGACCTATCTTACAACATGATATCTCAGTAAAAAAAAAAAAGATAAAAGATTTGAACACACACTTCACCAAAGAAGAGATGCAAATAAGTACATTAAAATGTACTTAGTATCACTAGTCGTTAGGGGAAGGCAAGTTAAACCACAAAGAGATATCATTCTCATTATAGGAGAGACTATAATGACCAAACAAAAAATAGAAAATCCAAGCGTTGACAAGTATGTGTAGCAACTGTAACTCTCATGTTTCAGGTGGGAATGCAAAATGGTACGACCACCTTGGAAAATGGTTTGCAATTTGTATATAAAGGTTTTAAGCAGCTTAATTAATAATAGTCAAAAATTAAAAATAAACTCAATATCCATCAAGTGGCAAATGGATACACATATGTGGAACATCCATACAATGGAATACCACTCAGCAATAAAAAAGAATGGATGTCTAATACATGGAGCTACATGGGTGAATCTCAAAAGTATTATGATAAGTAAAGAAGCCCAACACAAAATGCTACATATTGTCTGATTAAATTAGATAGTATTCTGGAAAAGTCAAACCTATAGGGGCAGAAATCATATTGGTGGTTGCCAGAACCTGGGGATTAGAGAGGGGATTAACTACAAAGAGGCATGAGGAAACTCTTTAAGGTAATAGAAATATTTTATATTTTGATGGTGGTGATCGTTACAGAACTTTAACCGTTTATCAAAATTCTTTAAATTACATGGTGATTTTTACTGTAGGTGAATTATATCTCAAAAAGCCTGACTTTTATTTTCTTTTTTTAAAGATTTTATTTATTTTTTGAGAGAGAGAGAATGAGCAGGGGGAGGGAGAGGGAGAAGCAGACTCCCTATTGAGCAGGGAGCCCGACGTGGGGCTCGATCCCAGGACCCTGAGATCATGACCTGAACTGAAGGCAGAAGCCTAACTGAGTGAGCCACCCAGGTGCCCCCTGACTTTTATTTTTGATAGGTAACTCTGATTGCATGTAAACAATGGACTATAATATTGGGAGCCAGTAAGCAGGGAAACCAGTTAGGAGAATTCTGTGCTCATCCAGGGAAGAAGAGGTGATAGGATTTGGATTAGGACAGTGGCTATCAGATGAAGAGGAGGCCATGAATGCAACCTCACTCAGGCTCCTAGCTATAAATGGAAAATGAATCATCCACATAGAGACCTGACTACTTACATACTAATGGATATCCAGATGTTTGCAAATATCTTAATAATTGACTTATACTCTTGTTTGGATGTTTAGCTTTGTATATACATATTGTTAAAAAGCACACAAAGTAAAAACAACCGGAGAAGTGATTCATAAATACGAAGTTTGACTTACTAGATAGAATAGTTTTTGCTGATAATAGTGATGGTGTTGGCGTTGGTAATGAGGATGTGGATGGTGATGGCATTGAGGATGGTGATGACAGTGATGTTGGTGATGATGACAACACTAATGGTGATGATCATAGTGATGATGGCAATGACATAGGTGATGATGACAATGATGATACAGACAATGATGGTGATGACGATGACAGTGGTGATGATGGTGATGGTGACAATGACGATGATGACAATGGTGGTGATGACGATGACA